TTAAAAAAAAAAAGAATGAGGAAAGTTTATAAAAAATATAAAAATAATATTTAAAAATTGAAAATGAATAAGAAGCAGAATCATTTATTCCCATTCATCGAGTCCACAAACTTCATGTATATAGAGGTGCTGGAAACTTCAATTTGGAAAAAAAATCTAAGATCCAAATTATATATGTATGCATGTTCGTGTTTATGTCGTGTATTCATGGAGACAAAATAATAGATGATTTTTCAAAGAAACAAAAATGCTTAGCACATTTTTAAAACTAAATTTAGTACTGAAAGTAGTTAAAATTTTAATTCACACAAATTACACTTTATTTTATTCAACAGATTCAACTTTTTAATAGGTAATGAAACAAGACTGGAAATTTCAAATTTATTCTCTGAAATTCGGTTTTCAGATGTTATTTACTCCTTTTCATATGAATTTTCACTGAATTGGAAATAAATTCAGTAAAATTCGAGACAATCATAAAAGGATGTAGCAATTAATGACATTAAAGTTGTTAGCGTTGATCCATAGCGTTTATTAATATATTACATTTGTCAAATAGTGTACACGATAATTTTTCAAGTCCCGTTATTACAACGAGTGTTTTAGACTTTTCGAAACTAAAAAATCGTTGGTGCCTTCTAAATCGGACGTAGTACATATAAAAAAGTATATAGGAATGAAAATCTCCCAATTCAAACATAGACTCTCATCTTGATGTTTCGTGTTTATCATTATTCGCTTTCTCTCTCTCTCTCTCTCTAACATTATTACACTACATAGCATCAACAGTGTAAAAAATTTGTAATTCACTCAGAATCTCACAAAGATAAAGACAAATGATTTTTATTTAGCTTACAGAGGATTTTTAGCACAAACTTGATTAGAAAGAGAAGAAAAATAATCTAAGCTGCTTCTTACTTTCAGTAATTTTTGAGCCTCCTTTCATTATAAAGCTTAACTTTAAGCAAAGAAAAATCATTTGACTTGACTCGTTCTATATTTATATTCTTATAAGATTTTTACATGACATGCTAACAAACACTCACACTTTAATTTGCACTTTTGCATTCGTTAAAAAGAACACATAATAGTGTCTGGTCTTAAGAGTCTACGCTCGTCTATATGGAAGCTCGATCAAAAATTCTTATACGATATTTACAATATTGGTATGGTGTTGTCTCCTGTTTTTTTTTCAAAACAACAATCGATCTAGTTTGCAATTCACTTTCATATATTGTAGAGACAGTAATAAGATATTAGTTTTATGGAAAAAATATTTTCAGATATTGGTAAAAATTCTTTTATATTTCAAAATACATTGACAGTTAAATAAGATTGCTATATTATGATTTGAGCGATATTTTTTATCAATTTTTATATTTTTATATATATATATATATATAAAGTAAAGAATTAGAGAAAATAGAAAGAGAAAGAGAGACACAAGATTCACATATTAATTATCAACATGTTTGTCAAAATTATTTCTTTCGCAATTAAATCGTTTTTAATTTTTTAAATCGTTAAAGCATAGATTTTACTATATTTTCAGTTATTTCAAATTAATAAAAAATCAATTTCAGTAAAATAACGTTAATTTCCTACTTAAATCTACATATTTGAATAGAAAGAAATTTTCCAAATATCATATATATATGTTTGATGCAAGAAAGATTGTATCTAATTTATTCATATTCTTTTCTTGTTTTTATTATTAATTTATTACATTTTTAAAACAGGACTTTTGACAAAAAACTCCTTAAAAAGGTCACAGCCAAATTTCGATATAAAATTTTAAGAGTACTAAAATTTAATCTAATATTACTTATAAATATATATAGGTATATAATAAACAGAGATTTATTTCTTTGAAAAATAATTCTTTCAACGAAAATTGATAACAGATTATTATTATTATTAAATCTTTATACATCATACACAACGCTTATGAAAATTGTTTCATAATATCTTATTGAATAATATAGTTGAATTTTTAGTTTTGAGAAAATACCTTCATTTGTTTGATGAAATATTTCATTGAAATTTTGATATCGTCATGTACCTATACGACTTTTTTGTCAAGAAATCACTGATTTTATTGATTTTATTCTTAAATTGAGATTTAAATGATATTCTCCTAAATCTTGAAGTTGATTTCAAAATGTGTAATTTAATCTTAAATTTAGCGTATTCTATATTCTTAAATTTAAGCTGATTGTAAAATTTAAGAAAACATGAAATTAAAAATATTTATGAGAGAAGAAACTGCGAATTAAAGAATATAAGTGCATCAATTGGTACGGGTGCTTCAAGCACAGTTTTCCTGCAGATATCAAATTGAGAAAAAAAAACGAATCAAAATGTAGCAACGTTTTGATTCGTTTTTTGTCTCAATTTGATATCTGCAGGAAAATTGTGAGTATTTTATATTCAAACTGTAATTAATTTAATTATTGAACTTTGGATTTTTGCTTACCGCAGTAGTTGAAACGTGCATGTGCTTCAATTACTGCGAGCAACATAACCGAAGTAGTAGGCCGAAAACCTTATTTTTATAAACGAATAAGTTTTTGGATTTATTATATAATTTAAAAGCCATGAATTTTTGTAAACATTTCTCAATAACACAAACTATTTATTTTTTACTATGTAGAAGAGAACTTGGCTGGAATACCGCAGCAATTGATACATTTACTTGGTAAAATTAATTTTAGTCTTAATTTCAGAATACTCTCCTTTTAGCGGTGTGTAGATACATTTTTTAAAACTATTATTATAGAATAAATTAATTCGCAACATAGGATACGATATTTAAAGCAATTGAATTAAAGTGAAATTGGTAAAAGAGAATGTTTTCTTAAAAGTACTTGAAATTTATTAAAGAGAGTAAACTCGTTTATTGAATAACCTAATACATATATAGAATGAAATTTGAATTAAAAGTAAAATTGAACTTTGACACGTAGATTTTGAAAGTTGAAATTTAGTTGAAATGAAAAACCTTGAGCTCTAATTGAAAAGGAAATTTCACATTTGCTAGACCGGAAAGTTGCAATTAAATTGAGATCGAGAAAATTGAATAGGTTGCTGTTGAAGATTCGCATGCTTCGTACGCGTATGCGTGAGAAGGGTGTCACTGCGCGTGTAAACGGCGGGACAGAGTGGACAGGCATATTTTCCGGGAAAGTGCACGTAATAATGATTTCTCACATTGGTAACGACCTTACCACACAAAGAACACCGCCTCCTCTCGTCTGAATTACTCTGTCTCTCAAAAATCTGAGAAATCCGCCAATTTTTCAGGTCTGTAACAACAGAAACCACAAGAAAATTCAGCATATGGACTTTTTTCTTTTAAAAACACCAAATGTCCGGTGGTTTTGACGATTATTTGCATGGGTGTTGAGCGTGCGGCGCAACGCGGCGGCTCTCCTCTTAAATTCTACTTTCATTCTAAATTGCTAGTACATGAAATATTTTTTTTATAAAGATTATATAGAGCGAAATATTGCGTGTAACTATTGATCCGCACAGTTCCTGCAGGAAGAAAACGGGGACAACGCGACCGACCATCTATCTCTTTAAAAGCGTTGCCATCTTTTTTACTTCGTTTCATTTATAATTGTAATATGAACTCGTTGAAAGTGTGATAATTGTATAAGTTGGGAGTAAGAAATAATATAATAAGGGCTCTTTCACTTTGGCATTCCGACTTCTTCGACTTATTCAAAGGAAAAAGATTTACATTCAATAAAGTGCAAAAAAAAAGAAGTGAGAAAATTTATTTCTTATACTTACTTCATATTAAAAATATCGAATCGTTCAAATATTTCATTTTCACAAAATTAATTAAAGTTAGAATAAAAGTAATATTCTTTTTCAATTATCTATTTTAAATCTTTTTAACCATATGTATTTAATTTTTAATATAAAAATATTATTCGATATCAATCAATAAAGAAAATTTCCCATCAGAATTTACTGCGTTAGAACGGAGAATTGGAGAAATGCAAACATTTAATTTTCTCTCATAAGACAGAGTAAAGATTTGGGGTTTATCACTTTGTCTTCAAGTATATATCACATACAGTAAATAATATAGAAATTTTTCTAAATGCAATTTTTAATTAGTAGGTATGCTTTACTGATATGATTTGAAAAAAATACTAATTCACAATTTCAGGACAATTATTTGTACAGTTTCCTTAAAGTATGCTTGATTGAATCGAAGAAAACGATTGAATTGAATGCTTCAGCAACCAAGAGGAAGTTTAGGCAGGTAATTAAAACTTGTAGAATCATTGCACACAAGAAAAGTTTCTAATACTCTTGGAAGCCGTCCTTAAGATCAAAAAGTTTATAAGTGAACTTGTAAATTCTAAGTGTGCTACGACAATTATTCAGTGTGAGTGGGTGAAAATATTTTATATATTTCTTTTCGAATTTAATTAACACTGAAATGATTGCAAATTCTTTTAACAAAAAACCAAAATTTAATATTAAAACAGCAATAAATGAATTAATTATTGTGAAGGGAAAAAGAAGATTTTTCCTTTTTTTAAAAACAGTCTACTTTTCGATTGTGCATCTTGTGAATATTGTCAAGAACGGGCGTAACCCATTTATGAGCTTAACTGGTCAAATCGATCGATTCTAGTACGAATTATGGTGGCGTGGCATTGAAGCAGGTCGAGATGTCACTTGTTGCAGGGCAGTTTTTCACAAATTCTTGCAGGCGCTTGCGCCTTTAACTCGGGATTGTGCAAAGCAAAGGAATAGCGGATCAGTTGAATCAGTTTCGTCAAAGAGGTCGTCGTCAAGACAGTCAAGACTATCAGCTCACATCGCTTATTTTAATACTTTTATTTCAAAATTAACGCTTTTCCTTCTGACAATTATATTTTGCACACATCTTTCTCTTTCTATCTCTCCATTAAATGATAATATTATATCTAATTTCTAGTTTGTTAAAGTGATCTGGAAATAAAAGCGAAGGCCAGTCGGTTAACACACAATTATGTTTAATCAAAAAATTAGTACGAAATACATTAAATGCACATATGATTAATTCTTGCAATAATTTTTTTTGTTTTCTTTAAAACTTTTCATTGTCCGCATATTATAATGTCTATACATTAAATGTAAAAAGACACGTGTATAATAATAATAATAATAATAATAATAAACTATATTAATAACATAAGAATATAATAGTGTAGTAATAATAATAATAATAATAATAATAATAATAATAATAATAAGGTATACAATTATAATCATAATGCAATCATAAACTAAAAACCTTCGTGTTAGACAATATAATTAAGGAATAATAATAATAATAATAAACTCAAAATTAGATGTAATAATTGGTAAAACTGTAAATTTAAAACCTTTTTTGTATATATATGTATTTCCCTTTCAAAATGAAAAGTCATCTTTTTCTTTAAATATAATATATATATACTATGTTTCAAAGTATGAAAAACAATTTCCAATTGGTTGCAATATTATCCTCGTTGATTCTGAATAAAAACTCAGAATTCACGAGCTACTATCCGATTAATAACAATTGAATCAATGATTCATTTATTTTATACTAGACCAAGAGATCTTTCATTTTCTCTTTTTCATTCCCTTTCTTTCTCGCTTACAATAAAGTCCCTAAAGTTCACCAGTTTTTTTTACAATGTTTTGGTACAAACGTATCGTTATATTCATAAGACTCTAATAGTTGGATTATGAATTACCATACATAGTGCCGCAGTTTACTCTGTGTGATTGTAACAACAGTAAAAGGAAAAAAAATATAACAATTATAGGGTAAACAATAAATTAAGAGCGGCGTATAAGAAACGCATAAGTATCTGTACGTGTATAAAGGATGAAAGGAGACTAAATGGGAGAAGTGAAAAAAAGAGTTAAAACTTTGAAAACAAAATTATCAGCAACAACTGCTTAAATTATATTCTAAAGGGAAGAGAGAAGAAATTCAAGGAAGAAGCTCTTAAGGAAAATAGTGTGCGTGATTTCAAAAGATGCAAAAAAATATTTAATTTATTTTGAAAAATGTAGTAGTGACTATTTTCTTACTATTTATAGTATTTACACACATACTCAAGTATATGCATACGAATAGATTTTTTAAATATATGTATGTACCAAATTTAGATAGGCAATTGATATTTCGTATTATTTATAAATCACACAACTTCAGTCTAATGCGCCCGCTGATGAAAAAACTTTTTTTTTGAAATACATATTTTTTAGAGAACACACCATTACATTTCCATACGTATAATGTCGCAGGAATAGACCCTTACAATGACACATACATATAGACTTCCCCCACCCAAAAATAACAAAATTTTTTTATATATATATATTTATTTAAATATATGAAGATAGATATATACATATATGTTAAAGTATATACATATATATCCATAATGAAACCGCATTTGCTATACTTTTTATATAAAGAGATATTAATATTACATCTTTTAAATTTATTTAGTTTAATAATATACAAATAGTGGGACGTTATCAATCAGTGGAATATTTAGTATAAGAAAGAAACGTCTGAAAAAACATGCTCTTATTTCTATCAGCTAAGCCTATTCCTTAGGTAACACCTACGTCTATCTAACTACTCTCATAATGTTCTCTTGCACAGCCATAGTTTCTTCTTTAACTTCATTCGATTGCGTTTCTTTTCTATCATTTTTCCTTCAGTCGCTTAAAAAGTTATTTTCTTTTTACTTTTATTATCTAAATTTCGGTTTAAAAAAATCCTTCGCTTATAATAGGTAAGAAAGAACATATTTATATATGTATATATATTGAGCTCAGTGCGAATTCAAATTGACTAATTTCCATCAGAGACTTCATCTTTCTAAGTACCTTAAACGAATCTTTGGAGAAAGATTAATGGTTCAACAAAATTTGTTCATTGGCAAAAAATATACATTTAATTTTATTTACTTTATTTATTTTATTTATTTTGTTAACCACATACCTATTTTGTTAAAACTCAACTTTTTTCAAATATATATGGTAAAATGCAAACTGTTTTATTAATTATCGAAAAAAAGTTTTATGAAAACTTTATTAAAAAAATTTATTGGAATTATTTTGTTTAAAATTTCACTAAATGCTAATTAATTCCTATAAGACTTTCCCGAACACGCACAGTTTAAATTTGAAAAAAAAAATATTTTATAAAAGGTGTATAACTTTAACAGTATATATGTAATCAAAAAAAGGCACAGAAATTTACTCAAACAAATTCTCAAAGATTCAATTTTTACATAAACTAATTTGGACCATATATATATTATATATATATATTTTTTTTTAAGAAAAAGCCTACATTTAAGGGCATGAAGCCATAACGCACATATCTCACAATTGAAAATTCTAATGTTTAAAAAATTTACTCAAAAAAAGGTTGATTATAAAAGACAATCAAAAATAGCAGAAATTTCTCTCGCGCTCTTCTTTTATTTTTACAGCATTCATAGGCAAACGCAACTCATCCACTGAATGATAACGCCTCATTTCATTACTATCGCGATATTGCACAATTTTTATTTTTAAATTCTTCTCAATTTCAATAAGGTGTTAGCACCAATCTATTATATCACAATGTTCCACTCCACACCACGCAATTGTAAATATATAAATACTTATACGCAGGTAGTAGTAATAGTAGTAGTCATAGTAATTAATAATAATAATAATAATAGTAATAATAATAATGATAATAATAATAATAATAATTTTTGCAATATATAGTAATTGATGTAGTATTAATCATTTTAATTAAGGAAAAAAATTCAATATAACAGCCTGACGACAAAACTCCACCAGTGTGAAGCAAGGTGTTCTTATTACACTTTGTGAAATCTGTGTGCCGAGTATTTCTCTCTTTTTCTCTTCCTCCTTACTTTCCTCCCTCCCTCTTTCTCCGCCTTTTCTTTCTTATAAAATTTTCTCTCGTTTCGCACCCTCGAATTCACCTACCTACATATTCCACTCATTACTCGCTCATCCAACACTCTTGTGACAAGTATTTGCCTTAAGATCTATTGAACTTGCCAATTCTTTCTTTGCAGATAAATATTAAGTGAAAATCCGTACAATAGTATTATTATTAAGTTAAAATTTCAAAATTGTTAAAACGTTCCTATAATTATCACAAATTGTGTTCAACTGATACACATTTCGTCTCGATTGTCAGGAGCAATAAAAATGCAAAAAAATTTTTATTTTTTTAATCAATTAACAAATATACACAAATTTATTTAAAATATTAACACATCTGCCTTTATCAAAATTTTAAACATTTTTTTGCCTCAATTTGATATCCCTAGAAAAACTCTGATATTTGAATATTAGTTTAAGTAAGTTGTGATTCAGAAAAATTTATGTAATAGATAAAAATATTTAAAAGTTTGAGTTGAGATAAATATTATTTTAATTAAAATAATTTTTAACGATAGAATAAACATTTTAAGTCAGAGAAACGAGGATTGTAATCTAAAATTTGTATATTTATTAATTATTACTTTGGCAAGTTTAGGCATGTGGGCGAAAAAAGTGTTAAGTAGACAACAAGTTGTAGGGTGAAGCTATGTAGTCACAGCTTTTACATTTTTTAAAAATGATCTATTTAAAATAAAATAGATACTTAAATTTTTTGTAAATACAACTTCCAAACAACAAATTAAAAAGAGAATAATTACATTATCATCGCTTTTAGTTTATTTACTAAACTTGACTCACTTTTCAACAAATTCTTTTCAAAAGAAAGTAAATTTTTTCGATTTTATCACTCCATCAACGAGATGTTTTCTCTCTTTATCACAAAAAAGATAAAAAAACAAAAACAAAAAACAATAATAATGTGAGAGATATCTTTCAAAACCACTAGTGAAATTATTTTGCAGCACAACCTATACTTCACAGCATTAAGCAAGATTTTTCAAAATCTTTAAGCATAATAAAGTAAATCAATCTTCGCAAGGAAAGGGTTATATTTAAAAAAAATAGACAATATTTTATATTATCGGTAATGTCACAAATACATTATCAATTTTGTATTAAAAACTAACTTTAAAGAAATAAAATTTTTAATTAAAAAAAAGACCTTTTGCATTTGGACCATTTAAAGTTGAATTACAATATTCAGAGAATTTCATTAATGTATTTATGACAGCTTTGTGGAGAAAAATGAATCACATCAATAATAATATCAATATTATAAAACCAAATGAATTAAAAATTCCATGTAACAATTTGAAAATTACATATTAGAATAAAAAATGGAATAGACTTTTTACGATGTATACATTTAATAATTTTAGATCAAAACATTAAATAACGATAATAATTAAAGAAAAGAAGAAAAATTGATTGATAATTTTAGAGAAAAATCGTATTTAATATAAATGACAAAAGTTATTTAAAAATTTTGCAATGCACAATATTCTTAATTGCAAAAAGATGGGATTTGAATCTTAGAGATAAATTTTATTAGCATCATTCAAATAAAACTTGTTTCTTCTAATGGATTTTAAAAGAATTCATTTTTCCCCTCGTAGACATATACAAATTTCAAATTTGTTGGACTAATGATAAAAGTGCACAATTTAAAAGACTTATAGATTGATTCAGAACAATAAAATAAAATAACATGTTCTCGCGGTTAACTCAAATTCCTAGAAATAAAATTGAGTGAAAGAGATGCGAGCGTATAATATAAGAAAGTATATTACGATAATTCTAATTGCGTTTGAACAGAATTCCTGACTTGCATGCGTTTTTACCGCTTAAAAAATGCCAATAGAATAATTAATTAATTTAGCCACCTGTTGAGTTTGACTTTGTTTCAAGAAGAAATGTAAAAATGAAATTTATTTCCAATAATATTTTCCGTTTGCTACAAGCATACAATTTCTCGACAGAGAAATTCATTAGAGTTATCCAAAGGATCAACGAAAGCCGCACGGTTGTCATAGAGGTTTACTGGGATGTGGTAAACAGCGTGGCTTGACGTTTGACTGGACAATTCCGGAAATTGGCAGTGGTTAAAATCAACTCACGTTGAACCAATGTGTGCGATTCTGCGCGAACATGAACTCGACCACTTCATTAAAATCAGCGGTAGAAACGCAATTGGAACACATGTCCAACGCAAAATCAGTAAAGAATATGGGACTATCATATTTGGTAAGTTTCTAGGATTGTATAGATTTTAAGAAAGATTCCAGTTTCTTAAAAAAAGAAAAAAAAACACAGAAAAAAAGAAAAATGAAAATAAAACAGAGAGACAAAATTGGCAAAACGATCTACTCGGGCTAGGCTTGCATCTTAATTCTTTGTTTAGTACAATAAATAATTATATATATGCGCGCATCGCTGAATAGTGCTTTTCTTTTCCTCTGGTGAAACAGTAACAACACATATATAAAATCAGAAAAACGGTAAAACAAAATAAATTATCCAATATATTATATGTAGGTACCTCGAATCAATATTAATAAGAATATAATAATAATAATATTTATAATAATAATAATAATAATAATAATAATAATAATAATAATTAATAAGAATCTGAATCAGCAGTATATATTAATATTTCTGATTATATATTATTAAATTAGGTATGTATATGATTGTTTGGGTATAGTCATAACTATGCAAAGGGCCCCTTCCTTCGAAGTAAAAGGAAACGTAAAAAGGCGGTAATATCATGTGATCACAATTCAGCGTGATTTGGCTCTTTGAATAGCTAGCAAACTCGTTACTATAAATTGTGTTCTTGAATCTGTATATCTGTTAAAAAAAACATCTCTATATGCAAGTGTGATTATACTTTTGTTTCCACTTAGAGAAAAAAGAAATTAAAAAAAAAAAAACACACTAGTGAAACAATAAACAATGGATTGCACCCCAACCAATCAAGTATCCATGTGCAACGACGTAAAAAATATCTTAAACCATCCCTTGAATAAAATTGTTTTTTAAACATAACTATCTCCAACCAATATAGAATATAACTGTAGAATATATAAAGTATAAAATATAGTACTATAAATCATCCTCATGAGTACAGTACTTTTAGTACAGTATTCGATCTTATATTGCGTTGCCTATGCATTTTAAGTCCCGATCGTGGAATGTCTCTTGAAATTTCCACCAATTAATTTTTGTTTGCTTATTACATATGCGGTGTGCAGTTTAATTGTAATAATTATAGACTTTAAGTGTTCTGTAACAAGTAACAGGCGTTTCATATAGTTCGATTTCATATTAGAGATGATGCATTATAAAATAATAACACATGGAATAGGGTTCGTTGTCAATCGATCGTATCCTCGATACTAAACTGCTAAAATCTCTGCTAAAATTTCGTTCAATTTTAACAGTTTTCATTTCGCGTAATGCAACACAAGAAACATTGACAAGTTGACAAGTTGACATTAAATGAGTTGACTTTCGATGTTGCATCTTCTCGGTTAATGTATACATAAAATTCTGGGTAACAATATAAAATCCATAAACACATTTGAAGAGAAAACAAAGGTCTAATATGAAGTAAAACTATAAACTTTCAACAACTATACGACTCACCCTGAATTACTTCCATTTATGCAATGTTAATGTTACTTAATAATTAATGTTTCCTGTTGCTTGTAAGCTCGCCACTCTGCAGCAACAGCGGGAGGAATTGGCACCACGTTTGCTCCCATTTTGTGTAAAATTCCGTGAAAATCTTTTACATTAAGTCCCATTTATATTTGACACCTTGCTAAACTTTATTATACATAGGATCCTCTTACAACACTGCGCTCGACAACCATTGGAAAAAATAAGGCTGCCTACCATATCCTTTCGCTCACTATATCTCTTTTGTTTTTTAAGCGTAGATCGATTTGGTGTTCATTAAAAACTGATTAAGTGACTGGCCGCGCGTCGCACTCTCGCTCGAGGCTACACAGGAGGCTGAACGACGACGTCGACGTCGAGACAACGGAGATGACTTGGTTCGCGATCGAGCGAGGGGGCGAGCCGGCTGCCGACCCTTTAGGAGAGCGTGTTCATTGTATCGTTATTCGAGGCGGACAGGGCCAAGGAGCTGGCCATGAAATCGTTAAGATCGATCTTTCTTGCTTCGGGGTGTTTGAATTTAAAGTGTGTGCGCAGGTTGTCGCTACGCGTGTACGTGGCGCGACAGAGAGGACATTCAAACCTGCCAGGAAAGTGGACGTGATAGTGGTTCCTGATGTGCGTCACGACCTTGCCGCACAGCTTGCACCTGTGAAGGTTGCAGCCGCCTGGCACCCGGTCAAAGGTCAGCCGCATGTGCCAGGCTCTTGAACCTGCAACATCAACACAAGACAAGTCACTCAACACTGTTGCCTCGAGACCTAACGAGTCCGAGTCGTCGGCTCGCTTTTTTCTCTCTTTACGGCGCACCGACGTCCGATACAGAGAGCCACAGAGAAAAGAGAAACAGAGAGAGAAAGGCAGAGCAAATTTGCAAATTTTACATATTTATCATTTCATTAACTTGTTTCTTTTTCTTAATATTATCATTTATCAATACGCGCTTACAAGCTCTTTTCAAGCTGTCGAGTACGCCGAGGATATGGAAGAAAAGATAGCAGCTCGAATGGTAGCGCTAAAGCTGGCACTAAAATACTGCGTGCCGGTTCTCGTCGCTCTACCTCACATCCAGTCAAATAACACATTACAAAGTCCAATCATGTTTTTTTGTCAATTATTTTATCAAAATTTTTATTTTTTATTTTTCATAGCCTTAATATGACTGGGCGAAGGTACCAGCGACGACCCTGTCAACTTTGTACACTTTTATATACACAAATTGGGAACGATTATATCAAGAGTACCATTTGTTAGAAAGGAATTATTGGTTAGGTTCGTTAGATTCTCGCACGAGAAAAAAGAGATGAAGATAGAGAAACAGATAGATAAAGAAATAGAAAAAGAGTGTGTTTGTCAGTTGCATGTGATTACTTTTAGTGAGAGCAACACAGGCGTGGTTGATGCGCAGGAGTGGAAAAAAATAAAAATAAGGAGAAATGAATAAAACATATATATAAAGAGTTTTGAGAAAAAAAAGAAAAAAAAAGGATGGCATGTTATGGATGATGTCATTTGAATCTCGATCGTCTAGAATTTCTCGCGTGAAAGATATTCACAAGACCATTGACAATGACCCTTGCAAGTGTGTACAAAAGCCAAAAACCAGACACACACATACGCATACTCCCACACAAACACAGGTACACACACAAACACGCTACATCGCAAATCAAAATTAGCTTCATTATTTTCATTTATTTCTTTAAAATCTGACAGTACAAAAATATTACATTTTTCTTTTACGTCGTCTTAAATCTTAAAGTGTCATTATACCTAGGCACTATTATAAACCTAATATAAATATATTTTTATTTATATGTATATATTTAATTTTTCAAGTTAAAGTTGAAAATTAAAATTAAATACTTATGTCACCATTATCTATAGATAATTTATGTTATGTGTTACTGGTGTGTATGGCACATTACGAACTTATAAAGAAATTGCTCTGTGATTTGTCAAACGACAAAGGCAGAGATCATTAATGAAGCATAGAGACAATTTTTTTCCACAGTTCAAAGTAAATAATTTTAATTATGTTATGTTGGTCCAGCCAAATTTTAAACCATTTTATAATTGTTTCAATTTTTCATTCCCGCACTAAATGTCTTTTTACACTAAACAAAAATAGGTTTGAAATTCGGCAATGGTTTATCAACACAGTACAGTAAATGCACGAAAGTTATCCATTGCTTAAAAAGTTGACATTGTTATAAATTTCGTACATTTCTATTTCTATCGTTACTATTAGTTTAATTTTAAAAGATAATAATAATAATAATAATAATAATAATAATAATAATTGTATACAATGAAAATGAAATGTTAAGTATCCCCTTAAATAAAAATTGACTGACTCCATAAAAATGGAAAAGGAAACTCAACCCTTTTGCTTCTCTTCTGTTAAACAGATTTTAAACCATCAACCTTGAGGAGAATATGTATGGATTAAAAGAATAAAATATTGAAAGAGATTATTAGACACAAATTTAATAAAGTCATAATAAAAAAGAAATTATATGATGCATGTACGTGAAAAAAATACAGCAGAAGAGTGTTTCTCAATCTTCCAAAAGAATATTTTTAATAAAGATAAGAGACTGTTCAATGAATCGACAAAGGTAATCGAAAAGAAATTTCCAAAGTCTATCTAAATTCTAAAACAAAAATACACATGTATGGAACGTATACTACTGATCAGATAAAAATAACTTATTACCTAAGGAAATAACGAGCGTTCTATTGTAGAATAATTTTTGAAAAAAATTCCATTCTCTAACAAATTCTATTAATATTTGAATATTTCTTTTTCAATGATAGTCATCGATATATCAATTTTTAGAATCTACGATAATTAAATGAATCTAAACCAAGACAAATTTACCTCGTAGAAGTATTGATTGAATTAGTCTAGAAACTATTGAAAATGGAACAAGTGGGATAGTTTGAAGAACTAAAATGGATATATACAAGCGGCCTGTGGTGACAAGTTTAAACTGGCTTCTAGTTCAACTTGAAGGAAGTATAGAATCAGTAGTGAAACTTGACGCTCAATAGTATCACTAGACTCTTAAGAAGTAATAGAAAATTCCAACTAGATTTAATTCTCTAGTGCAAAACAAAGGAAAAATTTCGGGCAAAGGACAGCTTTTAAACCTAATAAAAGACAACTTTCGCTGTGGCAATAAAAATAATTTGTTATCTTAAAACGAAACTAAACTTGTCTATAATAAATTGTAAAATTTTTAATTCTACTGTAAATTATAAAGAAAAATAATCTGTAAAACAAAAAGACGTCACACACGGAAAAATATTTTGGAACATAAATCGGTGTGTGTTCCCTTATGGTTTTCAGATTAAAGATTTTTTATTACAACTGTAAATTTTTGCTAAATATCACACATAAATCTTTGGTTGATCAAAACCTTCAAATTTTAATTACAATATGAAGCTGTGAAGAGTTAAACGTATGGTATGAAATTATGCATAATTGACTTGACATATCTTATTCTATGTTTATTTTCTTGAGCTTTAAAATATAAATTTTATTGGACTCCAAGCTCCTCAGTTTAGAGTTGAATATTTTCAAGGACAGTTTGCAGCAATAAATTATTACATAATTCTACGATTAATTTTTGGATGTGTGCTCGTAATATGGGCATTAAAAAGGTTTCACTGTATTCGAAAAAGTTATCGCAATAAAGGCATTGTTTGATCTGATACCGGCTTGCCACAATGGAAACACAAATACAGCTTCCGACGGCAACAAAATGAAATCTTTGCTGATACAAATAATATGTCGTAAAAAACTGAAGAAAACACAATATTGAAAAGGAATATAGAAGAAATGTGAAAAGAAGAGGAAATTTTCGAAACTTTAACTTTAACTTCCCAACAGATTTTCAACAGATTGTAAGAAATATTTTATTACACAGTAAACATTGAGATTAATTTCTTGTAAAAACTCTCTGAAAGAATTGTCTGAGCACTTTGCGAAAAAAAGTAAAAGCAATAGGATTATATTGTTATTATATGTAGTTGAGAGAGTGAAGACTGGCTTTAGACTTTTAGAGTAGAATGGAGTTTTTCGGGTGAAATGAAAAGTATGGCTACGCGACTTCAGAGTGCTTTGTGCGAATGTGGGCCTTAAGGTTGTCGCTGCGAGTGAAGACGTTATTGCAGTAAGGACATTGGCAGTTCTGCGGCTGATGGGATCTGATGTGGTGCCATCGGTTACTGACCGACTTGCCACAATGGAGACAACTGTACAGCTGAGGGCGGCAACTGTCTCCCTGCACTCGGACGAACTTATCGTACTGATTCCCCACAGTCAATCCCCGAGCATCCCTTGGCTCTTGGGGTTGCAACGCTCGAGGCATCCAGCAGGACAGCTGGAGCTCTGTCGCGTGACCTTGTGGGGTATCCCCCTCTCTCTTTAGTGAGACACCACTGGCCAACACTGTAACAGAGAGAGAGAAAGAGAGAGAGGGATGAGGATAGAAAAGAGAAGCGCCCCTTTCAACCCTTGGCAATGCAACTATTCACATTCACGCACCAATCGATCATTCTACAACTTTACATTTTCCACCTTATCTCAGTGTTATCTCAGAAAGAGAGCTTCATTTTTTCGTTTTCTCAACTTTTTAACCGCATCTTAATCTGTTTGTTAGCACTCAATTAATTTGGAAATGGATTATTTTTTAGACCTTATCGAATTAAAGTAAAAGCCTTTTTCGACAGTTTCAGTGACAAAGCTTTCAGTTAGGAGGGTTCAACTAACAAAAAGATTGTAATGAGACACCTGGTATAAATACGAGGAGGGTCAGAAAGGAGGTAGACTCGTATCCCTTGTTCCTGCCCCTCTCCTTCTCTCCTTCTCCTCTTACTTCCTCTTTCCCTCATTCTCTTCCTTTCTCTCTCTCTCTCTCGTGCCCGTAAACTAGTCTACGAAGCATCCAATAAAGTACATGCTTGTTGCGTCATATGAGGAGAGAAAAGAACCGTTGCAGCAACTGTTTGAGATGTAAATATCCAGACACAGCTTCTAAACATTGGCGATTTCCATTTTACAACTGAATTCCACTTTTCAAAGTTTAAACCAGTGAATCTCAAAATTTGATTTTCAAATATGGCTTTTACGTATTCTACTAAAATTAAAATTGAAAAATGTTCCCTCTACTTTATTGCAGTAAATATAACTGAAAATCAATTGTAAATCAGTGGACTTTCAAAAAATAATTATAAAACTTTTTAGCAAAAGAAATTAAATGAAACTTAAATCGAAATGCCTATTTCGGTCCTACTTGACTAGATGACTTTTTGAATATAGAAGAATCCGAAAAGAAACTTTTCCCCCATAGAGCATAATCGAGACGGCAGAACTGACTCTTTGTAGATTTTAAGCACAAGGCACATAGTAATGTTCTAATCCTCTTATCGAGGTAGAAGAGGTTGCGGTAGTTAATAAGAGTGGATTATTTACGTCGACCTGCATCGCAACATAGGCTGTTTCACTCCCGAAACTTTTTCGTCATCGAATCAAGGTGCGCTGCTCTTTTTCAACTAAATTCATCTTTGTAGGTCTATAAAGCTTCTGAGCGAATAAGAAATGCGCGGCAGGAAACTAAAGCCTCCAAGTCTCTATTAAGTAATGTAAAAGCAACCCTTGCTTCCACAAAGAAGACTTTAAGCGATAAGAGCATGAACATTGATCAGAAATTTACCAGATTGAAAAAATGAACAAGACCAACTTAACTTGCCTTGGCAGATTTTGGCAACAACTCAACAAAAAAAAGAAGATTATAAAAAGAAAAGTGAAGGAAAAATAGAGAAAATTTAAAACTCCAACTGAGACTCGTAACGAATCTGAAGTGGAACGTGCAAACTGTCAAGTTTTTTCTTTTTTCTTATAAAAATCAGACTTGAAAGTGAAAATGTGAGAAAATAAAGAGAAGCAAGATTTAAGCGAAAGGGTTGAGTGAACGAGAGCCGAGTTTCCTCCGAGTTGATGGAAAATGCAATTAAAATATTTGCTAGCTAGCTGCATTTACATTTGATTTCTTTTTTCAAGACTGATAGCTAGCATTGCACTTTTGGTGATGTATATATTTTTATTTTCTAAATTAAGTCATAAATATTCACTGGCACCGAGAACGATATTACGCTTTTGTCTCTATTGAGCGAGACGAAAAAGCGGGACCATGATGCCCAATGTTTTCAAAATACAAATAACTTATATAAATATAGAAAAAAGTACAACTCTACAACTCTACAAATATATATATATATATATTAAAATACAATAAATATGGCATTAGTTTAAAAAAAAACTTACAATTTGCACCGTTGGTAAACAATGGTTTTAAATCATGTCGCATTTGGAATGAACAATATTCTTCAATACAATTTAAGTATAATACTAAGCTAAGCTACTTCCATCGTCGATTTCATAAATTGATGACAGAACATAATTTCACAGAAACCCATAAACGACTCCATCAATGAAAATGATATCGTATGCAAAGTTTAGTTCCGTTTGGCCTAAATTTCTCGCACTTGTGAAAAATTCTTTACTCGACAAGGGAATGAGAGTCATATTTTTTGAAATCGAAAATATTTCTCATCAAGGCAGGCGAGAAACTTTCACACTCGTATGATAAATAATTTTAAAATTATAAAAACATATTTTACTCAGTGTAGTGATAGAAAAATTACATTTTAGAAATATATCCTTTTCGGAGGAAACTTTCTTGGCGGAAAAAATTTACTCCGTGTTGGAAAAATGCAAGTGACTGTAAATAGAAAAAAGACTAACGTTTCGATAAAATTCACTACATTCAGCTCAATAACATGTTACACTGGGCGTGTTTGTACTCTATCACTAAATCAGGATGTTTCTGTTTAATGTGAACTTTTAAATTGTCCAATCTCGTCCTACGGCAACCGCATATGGGACAAACAAAATTTCCTGGATTATGTGTCAAATAATGATTTTTAACATTCGACACGATTCTTCCACAAATTTTGCATTTGCTAGTATAAGTGTGCGGCAACTTTTCAAAAAAGTCCGACACATTCACTCTGTCCATGTCCGATATCGGCACGGATTCAATGCTTGGAGAAGTAAAAAATGTCGAATCTGCAAAAATAGAGAAAATGCGAAGATAATAAAGGCCTCACTCGAAATAGCTAAATTTCACCAAGTCAGGGACACGTGTTTGGAGGTCCAAGAGGCCAGAGTTTACAGTGTGTGATGCAGAATATGGAATATCGACGAAACTTTCCTCGAAAATTCCGTCGATATGATAGCTTTTCTACTTTTGATTATTCATGCACACATTATCATTAGGGTTTGTTTTCACTCTATAATAAATATGTTTCACTATTCTACTATTTTAATTCTTTAAAATTTATCGTCATTATAATAATAATAATTATCAATATTACTATTGATTTAGTCTTGTACTTCAGAAAGGCACCACAGAAAGCCTAAAACCTGGTTTATATCAGCCTATGGGCACAGGGACTAGTTTCTCATGACTACTTCGAGCTGGTATTTCGTAGCTCGAGAATCCTTATTCAGTCTTCGGCGTGTTTCACAACCAGCAATATTGCCATCGACACACGTGCAGTTATAAAATAGATTGCTGACTGTTTTGTAAATCCGCTGTCGAAGGAAAAACAATTCAACATAAAATTACACCTGTTTCAACAACACAATATTACACTTGTCAAAACTCGAAATCATAAGCATCGTTTTTTATTTCTTTCCTCTAGACGTTGCAATTACTTGAAAAACGGTAATTAATACTAAAACTATTTTAGTTAGAGTTATAGTTGTCAAATTTGAACGTTTAAATTGTTTTACTTTCAATAAAAAAAAGTCAGTAACCTACTTTGGGCATTAGTATTAGAATCTTGTATCTAAAACTCAAAATCGAAAAAAAAAGTTTGAGAAACAAGAGATGTTTACTAATGGAACACGAATGTCGATGGATACTATAGATTTAATACTGATATAATATGATACTAAAATTGTGGTAGGGGGAGGCTGAATTAATTTAATAAAATAAGTGTGAATAAAACACTTGGAAGAGAATTAAATAAAAGAGAGAACAGGTGACATTCTAAACGAATAGAAACTGTGGTCATCTTGAATAGGGAAACATTCAGTCTCTTGTTGTAAGAGACTCAGCAAATGCACTTAAAAATACATCCAATAGGGACAATAAATAATTTAGAATTAGAAATTATGATAAACTACCACTTCGAAGAATAATAATTGTAAGTTACGTACGCTTCTAAAAATTAATTATAAATTAAAGTACCTCGCGCCACGACCTTAGCCTATCAGGAAATAAATATAAAACCTCTCGTACGTTTTGCAAAAAATACAAAAAACCAAAAAGAAGAAATGTCGAGAAAGCATTTCAAGTGAATGCTTTGCTCCTTGAGCGTAAAGTATACACAGTCAATCAATTAATGGATTATTTTCTCAACAGCCTAGGTGAGGTAAGACGCTTCCGATTTGGCTAGGAAGTGTTTGGCCTCCAAGCGCATAAATGGTGACATCAGGGATCCCTCTCGTATCCCATGCTTCAGCTTAATATGCCTTTTGAGATTGTCAGACCTGGTTAAAGATATCATACAGATGTGGCACTGATACTTGTCGGGGAAATGAGATTTCATGTGTTTTTTTATGTTGGCTACACTCTTCCCACAAAGCTTGCAGCTTTCAGAGCTGAGCTGTGCGGTCTCTAACTTATTGTGACTGTCTTTACTTATGTCCTTTTCTTTTTTGTAAGTCCCTGCCGTTCCTGGAATACAAGGATCCCATTTCAATCATGGATGCAATTCAATCACTCTGCTTTGGCACAAAAGAATCTACGTCATAATATAATAATTTCACTAAAAAGTCTCAACAAAATCGAAGGAATTAAACGCAAATAAAACTAAAAATACGTTTCAACGTTTCAATAATAATGCACGCTCTACGTCAAAAAGACAGTCAGAGTAGAATAATACAGAAGTGGAGGGTATCTTCTTGAAGGACACGCTCCTTGAAAGGAGATGCGCAAAACGACAAAATACCACACTTGTTAAATTTTCTTGTCTTACCTACTTTCATCAACAAAATATAACGATGAAAAAGGAAACGTTAAGGAAAAATATGTTCATTATATATAGAGAGTTAGAGAGAGAGAGAAAGAGAAACAAAGAAAAGCATACACCTCTACTTAAAAAATAACAAACGCAACAAGTGACAGTAACGAGCATGAGAAAGTAGTAGAAAAGTCATATTAATCAACAACTCGTATCGAATGCGAACAGCGAATACTCCTTTTCGTATACTGTGCTTTATTCCTTGCTGGGTAAAAAATAAAAAAGAAAACGTCAATCAAATTTCTAGTTTTTTGAAAATCCGTGCTTCTTCTCGATAGATAATAAAAAAAGAAACAAAAACAACAAGTACACGACAGTGTGCTCTCGGTTCTCTTCACTCGTTTTTGCTCATTTTGCTCAGCGCGAGAAACGTTGACCAAGACAACTGTTTGCGAGCTCTTTGCGAGCTCTTTGCGATAACACCATGCAGCAAAATGAAGTAAAGAGATACTTGAAAGTGGAAGATCAAGATCACATTAGATAAAGTGTTTTAAACGCGTAAAGGGTATTATAGGACAGAAAAAACAGTAAAAGAGACATGCAAAAAGAGATCCCTGTTGTGAGAAGTAAATATTTTCATGTATACAAAGTGCACGGCGCTCGAATGTTTTTTTCAGTATCTACGTTCAAGAAAAAAAGCACAACACTTTTCATTTAAAAATAGTAGCAAGAATCGTGTAAACAAAAAAAAATCTCTCTCTTCTTCAAAAACATAAAACTTTCAATGATTTTCCATGCACAAAAATATTCGGGTGGTTCAAATCACAAGTAAACAAGATTTAATTAGCAGTACTTAGCACTTTATGGAAAGATGTTTTTGTTTTATGGTTTTAAAAAATAAACGAGCACTTTGTATTTAAAATTCGTTAAAAAAAACCGTAGATACAATGTGTAAAACAACGAGAGAACTCGACAGAATCAACAACCGCACGCATCAACAACCCACACACCATCCTCAAACACAACGGAGTACACGCATGTATGGTCCATTTGCTTGTACCGATTCCCAAACCATCGCGTGTTAAGTGCTCAATATTAACACACTGATATAATTACTACCACAATGACATAGCAAATGCACGATACCATCACCAAGAACACCAAAATCTTATCTAAAAAATTTACAATTATATACATTTTTATATATAAATGTATATTCTTCGTTCTTCAGACTTAACACTCGACTACGCTTGCCAGAATTGGAAATAGAGGGATGCCCGTCTTGGACGGGTAGAATACCAATTTTCACTTTGAGGTCTCATCGCAAAAGTTCATGCATTTCTCCCTCGATTTCTTGGAACTAACTTACGTTCCTCTCTATCTCTCTCGTTCTTTTTTTTTCTTTCTTTCTTTCTTTCTTTCTTTTGCGTCTTTTTCGACTCTTCAAATAATTTTTATCAACATTTTTTCAAAAATTAACCAGAGAACATTTAGGAATATATGTTAGTTCCAAAACAAATTTTAATCAAGTATTTAAAAAGTCTTACCATCAAGACCGTCGAGCATTTCTGGTGGGTTGTGGTGTTCTGAAGATTCGGTTTCCGGCAAACTGTCATTTTGCGTTCCTGTCGTTGGACCTCCATCCTGATTTAATAATCCGATCGGATGACCCTGCACACGGCAAATAATGTAAATTTAAAAATTGGTTAATACCGACTGCTTTCGTTTCCGTAATCAATTTATTGAATCCTCCCTTATTAATGGGAAAAACGACATTATTAACATTTATTTTTTCATTAAACTTGACAATTTAAATTAAAAATTACGCATTCATTTTTATTTACTACTTAGGTATTATCTATTAAACTCGAGAAATATAAAAATTCTCTAATATTGCTGTCGTTTTAAGAACCTTAATAAAATTTAAATAATACCTATGTGATACTGATAATCTAGTCACCTGGATCTTATTTAAAGATAAACTGTTTAGAAAAATTTAAGGTCTCTTAAGCACCACAACTTAATTTTTAAATATTTGACTATTTTCGTAGCTATTTATCTACAAATAATTATTTTCTACTAATAACTAACGTTAAGCAAGCACCAACTTTTTTTAAATACGGGACGATAGATTTTTTATTTTGGGCGAAAATTAGACTTAAATTATAGCACAATGAATATTTACACAAATATCAAAGTTTTGGTGCCAGCTTAACAACACCTAGAAATTTATCATGATTTAAAATTTTGTTTAAAATTTTTTATTCCACATTTGTAAACCTAGATTTTACTAAAATGTAAAAAAAAAATCTTCTGATTCATCATACACAACAAATGAAATCACAATCAACGCCATTGTCACAAGTATACGTCATTCATATTGTTAAATACTCGGAGTTTTGTTTGGTGACCGACAATAAAATATTGGACTTTGAAATTGGATTTTGTTTCTAAGTTAAAAATTTTCTTTTTCATTTGTTGTGTTGTTGAATACGAATATGATATTAAAATAATAGAAATTAGTTTCAATTTTTAGTGTTTGTAAAAGTGTGCAGTGCAAAAAATACATAATTCTTTTGCAAAAGGTTTCAATATTTTCTTATTTTTTGCACTTGTTCTTATATTGAAGAATAGTTCAGTACTAACTTAGTTTCTAATTTTAATATTGGATTTGAATATACGTGTCTTATTTTTAAATATTTAGCGAGAAAGAAGTGATAACTTAAGAAGAATAGATTTAGATAAACATGTGTCAAAAAAATTGTAACGATATAATTATTTTTCTATTTGTTTATTAATTATATTAATGTCATGAGATGACGTTTTTTCTAACAATTGTAAATAATAAACTATATATGGTAACAAAATGGAAAATCTGCATGACACTCTAAGACATTACATCACAGTTTAAAATCACTTGAAAAAATTCCTTCTTTGGTTTTCAACCAGAGGTTTTCTACATGCATCTCCCTGTGAAGAAAATATTTAAAAACTTTTTTCATTGCACATTGAATGAAAGATGTTGGACGATAGAAAAAAATTTGTAAATGTAATTCATCTAGCAAAGTTTTTAAAAAATGGAAATTAAAAGTTCTCGTAATCAAATGTCGTGATATTTTCACTTTCCTTAGCAACACAAATATTGTGAGCTTTGCATTTATCATGATGATTTATAATTTCGAGTCTAAAGTTACCATTGCCAGCAGCAAATGAAGTACGAATTTCAGGAATCGTATCACTCCATTTTCTGCAATATTTACAAAACATTAGATTTAACCGATTGTCATACTGAAGCCACGAGTATAATTCCAACCAATTAGATCTAAATCTTCCTACTTTACGAGCCTGTGCAGGTCGCTGTAACAATGTGGATTGAATTACTGAAATTTCCTGACTCATTGCATTCGAATCATTGTTTGATGATTTTAAACTACTTCTACTTTGAGATAAAGAATTTGGAGAAGGTTCGAAATTACTCCTAGAATGATTGTCTAGAGATTTATATAAAGTTTTCTGGTACTCCGGCAAAGCCGATGTCTTATTGATATGTAACAAGCCTCCTGACATGATAAGGTTCTCTCGAGACACTTGTACAGCCATACTTGGTTGAATGGGATGAGCCAAATTCTGATTCTGATTCTGATTATCCATAGTTTCGTCAATCTTCCTATCTCTTTGAATCTCCCACTCGAAATTGGTCTGTCAACAGAGAAGGAAAGGATATGTGTTTAATCAACACATTTCAATTTTGTTCTTTAATTATCGAAGGCCAATTCTTTACATCAATATAGATAATCCCTTCCTTTTCGGTTTTCATTCAATTCAACAGTAGATGTGGATGAGAGTCTCCTTTTTAGCGGAAGAATAACGAAACCATGTTTTAAAAATAATCGCCACATGTTTATTATTATAACATATAGAATTAGGTGGAAATCTTTTCTAAATCTTTAAGCAAAATCAAGTGTCTATCTAGACATTTCTAAAGATGATTCTCTTAAAACGGAATTAGTCTCTTGATTACAAGGAGAGAATAAGCTTCACAGCCGAAATTGCTGAAATCAATAGATAGAGAACAATTTTTTTTCTTCTTTCTTAGTAGAAATAGAAACAAGACAAAATGCTAATCAATAAATTCAACTCATGCAAATATTTCTAACAACCTCACTTCTAACGACTTGACGTATCATTAGAAACAGAAGGTACTATTATTTTGTTTACAAAAATAAGTTTATATACAATTTTCTACTTTTATCACTTTCAAATCTTCTATGAACCGAAACAGTTTTTAATAAATGTGACGCGCTCCGAAGAACATACAATTTTAGGTTATGATCTTAATTTTAGGAATAAAAATGCACAAAAGGGAGCAATTCTCAATATAAACCACTGAAGTCTTCATTACAATGATTAATAAAAACTGATTTTAGAAACAGAAATTTAATTAAGGTAAAAATAGCAAACATAACCTAAAAATGATTTGCTTCTTAGATACAATTCTTCGGAGCGCGTCACAAATATCAAGTTAATTTCATATGTTGAATGTAAACAAATAGACTACAAGTAATTTTTAACTGTTTTACAATACATTTTAAATACAATTATAAATTGTATATTAAGAAATTCAAATTATTAGGAAAGCTTTAAAAATGAAAAAACATTCTTACAAACTGATACAATTATCGTTTGCTCGAAATGATTTTTTATCAAGGGACTTATCTGACCTATTATGTATATTTAAATATCTATTGCTTTTACCATAATGCCAAGAAACAGGCATTATGTCTAACCTCCATAGTTTCTTTTCAAAACAAAATTGAAACTTTAATTTACTTACATGCAATGAAAAATCTAGTTACTCATTTAATGAACTACATTACTCAAAAAAAATTCCTTTTATCACACATTTAAGAATCGACAAATGAGAAATATTAAGATTAAGATCTAAAAAATTACGAAACAAACTTAAAATTTAAGATTATAAAGAATATCAATTTCTTACTGGGAGGGAAATGTTTTCATGGAAGTCAGGCATATGATGATCCACTTCCTGTTTAATTGGGGCTTGAGGTTGAGACGCAGGAGATATAGGTCGACTACCATCTTCCACATCACCTCCTATAGCGTTATTTAACTTTGGAATCACCGTAGGACTTGATTTGTAACTACATTGAGAAGATGCCTGTAATAAACAAGACGATTGTTAAAAAAACTGTAACATTACATTGGTTATATTATAGCATTAATAATAATTTTACAAACAATGAAGAATCCTTCAACGATTTTTTTTATATATCTTTCAATTTTTGTTTATCAAACTTTTTTCTCTAATATGTAGGCATGTATGTATTACATTGACGATCAAGTTTGCAGGTTCAAGGAACGATGAAAAATGAGGTCAAGGTTACAAAGAGAAAGCGTAAATACTAAAAATAAAATATATTATCTATGAGGGCAAAACATTTAAGAAAATTTTAGTAATATAAAAAAAATTTTCACATTTTAATTTTTCATATAGAAAAAAATCTTAACAATTCTGGGAAGATAACCTTAATTTCATTTACTCCGTTTTTTCTAATGCTAAATGCAAATTCATCTCAATTGGATGAGAATGAAAACTTATAGATAATTTAAGTATGTAATTTTAATTTTTTCAGGAAAATACTCTATATTTTAATACTTTACAAACATGAACAATATTTTTTCTCAACTGTAAATTGATCCACTATTTCTATTTCATTATCACTGAAGATGAATTTATTAAACTTATTTATTGTTTATAAACGTAAAAAATAATTATTACTTTTTCATTTGGTTGTGTAAACTACAATATATATTTAATGACTAAAGATTATGCAACAGCCTATAATTTAGAAAAAGAAAACTGAAGTTCGCATTCTCGTTTAAAGCTAGAAATACCGTTTCAAACAACAAACGCATATTGTGACATACATTTCCTGCTTAAATTATCGTATACGTTGTCACAGCAAAATATTTTAATATATTTTTATATAAAGCAATAATAAAATTTGCCTTTAATAATAAATTATAGAAAAAAAAAAAAAAAAGAAAAACAATGAATCAACTAAATGATTTTTTTTCTATAATCATAATAAACTTAAAGTACCAAGTTTTCATAGAATTGTAAAAAATAAGTTTTTATTAATAAATTGAATATTTTATTCCAGTGGTAATCACAAGAAGCTTAAGCGAAAATTAAAAAGTAATTAAATTGCTGAGAATGACGTATGTAACGAACAGTCACACACATACACATTAACGTTAATTTGTACAGCTGCTTTTAGAATTTAATAATAGTATAAAAAATTTCTTTTTTATGCAAAAAATTCCTTGAATTTTGTCTCTTTATTCAAAAATTAATGATAAAAAGACAAAAGTTGAAAAAACTATATCACAATTTATTCAAATGTAAATATCATAGGTAAGTAAATAATGTGTCTTTCTTGAAATAAATTTGAAATATAGAATAGAAATCTGAACATTAATATAATGTGTAAACTTTAACAAAAGACTAATGTATTAAGATTTTAATGGACGCTGTAAAGTAAAATGAGGTAAAAGATAAGAGATAAAGGAACTCGTTCTTCCTTGCTATTATGTAATCAAAAATTGTATGTATATAGCTAGATCACTTTAATTATTCATTTTATGATTTGAAAAAAAATCACAGAAATTTTATGAAAATGAAGAAGCAAAATATCAAGATAGAATTAAATGAGCAATTTATTAAAGGGTTCAAAAGGACAATGTTGAAATGGATTATTTTTCAAAAATATGTATTATTTCTCCTAAAAATAGGGTCAGGCTGGAATATTTTATTTTATTTCTCTTTCTTTAAATGATTCTGAAAATATTTTCTTATTCATTCATTTTTGTGTCAACTTATTTTCTTTAATAGTTTAGCGCTTCTGAATCTCAGCTGATTAAAACTTTTGGGTTGACAGTGCAGAAAAAATAATTTTTTAATTGTAAAACAGTAAATTTTTTTTAATGGATATTAGATTTTTAAAGGGCGAATTTGATTAAAATACTTTTGGTATAGAACATTTTTGAAATTGTATAAATAAAAAATGTACTGTTTGGAAAAATTGGAAAATAAAATATATGACTTTTACTGGAAAGGAATAGAAGAGACTAGACTAGACAGTAAAATAATTATGGAAAAATGAGAATATCAGTAATTAAGGAAATCCGAAATAAATAATGAAAGATAAAATTCCTACCTGAGAATCTGACAAGAACCGTTCACTGGGTGGTCCAGTGAGAGATACATCGTAGCTGCCCGAGACCTTTCGTTTCCTTTTCTCAGGATGAGCCTGAAGACTCGGGGAATCGGTGTGCCTGACACTAGATTGAATTTCAGGCTCTGGCGAGGGACTTTTTTCTTCCGATTTATTATTTACACTATTATCCGTGAGACCTCTGATCTGTAACGCTTCTGCGGTCTTGAGGAACATGGGCAGCAGATGCTGACTCACGTTAACCTCGCCTTTGTACATAAAGTGTAATAATGCTTTCATCTCCGTGTCGTTGACATCCTTGAGGAATATGATGGGATGAGGATGTGTGTTTTGGAGGAAAATGTTTTCAAAATACGGACTGCATGCAGATAGTATTGTTTGGTGCGCCTTGAAAGTCTCGCCGACACAGGCCAGGGTAACGTCGCAGAGTGCTTCACGCGCTAGCAATGAGCTGAGGACGTCGGTGAGGTTGGCCGGATGATTATTCCACCGGAGGCAATACTGCTGGTCCATCTTGTCTATCTCCAATCCCGACCCTACAACCAAACTATCTGTCCTGAGGAATTTGCAACGTAACCCAGCCACCGTGATGCTGCTCTTGGCTAACCCTTAAACTTTTAAATCCAAATTCAGCACTCCTCACTCGTTCTCAACATGCACTCTCTACCACGAGGGTGTCCCACCTTAAACTCTATCACGATCCTAGGCCCACACTACGTCCTCCGCGAATCTGCAAATGTGCCACATTGCAGTATAACTGTAAAACCCTTCAGGGTTCACGGGCTGCTACTACACGTGTCAAAAACATTTTTTTGCATAACCTCGGCAAACACCACGAGCCGTCGCGAGAATTTTCTATGCGTTAAGCGCTCAAAACAAATCTGGATAAGGTTAGAACTAGAAATTGCGTCGCAGCAACTACCACCCACGTATGCGCGAAAACCCGAATTTTGAGGGAAATGTTTTCGGTAACGTCAATATTCGCGAGGCTTGGGCGCCATTGTCGAGCGAGCTGTACACGAACACGAACCTTCTCCTCGAAACTACTACTGCTACTACATACTACCACTACTCATGCCCAATAGAGATGTATAAACCTCTACCTCTCTTTCTTCTCAACTACAATGTTCCCAAATGTTCCCGTCGAAATTTCAAGCTAGACACCCTCACCATTCTTCCTATTCTCCACATTCACTGCTCACGGTTTCTTTATAATTAAATATTACTCACCTTTTGCAAACTTTTTGCCATTACAACGCCACCGTCCCTTAACGTTCACTACCATGCGAATCTGCCAATGCCTATACGGACTTATTTTTAAAATACTTTTGACCTTCGTGCATCTGTCGTCTGTCGCGAGCAGACGTAAAAAGGGCGCCTACTTTCAAATCTCCAACATCGATTAAACTTTCATTCATACAACTTTCATTCATAATTGACTTTCTATATTTCTTATTTCAAATTGTCAATTTAATTCAAATTAGCTATATCAAAATATCAATTGTCCTATATGCAAAACAACTCATGAGCCTCACGAGTGAAATGTATTATTCTACGGAAAAACATAACCTCAACAAGCACTGTTTTGTTTGCTGCACTGCTTGGCATTCGACGACGCGGTTTACATTTGCCACGTTCTCACGTTGCGATGAAACGTTTTAGGCATGCGTCAAATTCAAGGGATTCAGATCACACAGTAATATTTTCTGTTTTGTACACATACATAAAATTATCACTTGCAAAATCAAAACAAATCTGTGTACGGCCTAACAATGTGATGAAACGAAACTTTATGCCAATTTATAAAGGTTAGGAAATTCTTCAAGTTTTTTGTAAGTTTGCTTTTTGTTTTCAAATTCCTCTAAAATATTAAACAAAACTTTTGTATTTTTATTTAAAAATTAGTCTTTTTCGTTGAATATGACATGCGACTCAAGTAGTCTGTACTCTGTAGAGATGGAGAAAATATATCGACTAAATTCCTCACGAAATGCACTGATTAATGATTATGCATACATTTATATTGTTCCCAATTTAATATAATGGCAAATCTTAATTTTAGTCTTGAACAAAAATATAATCATGGAACTTTTTTTTATTTTTGCAATATTCATTTTGTCATTTAAATTTTATTGTTCAAACTTGTGTTTAATTTAGATATTTTGTAAAAACAAAGGAAAATAACTTAAAAATTTTGTAATATACATTACATTCTCATTCAATTTTGTATGAATTTTTAAGGAATTTATAATCAAAAAAATATAAAAGTAACTAAATTTATTTATTAGTGCACAACAGAATTTATAATTATATAAAAGTATTTCTTGTGAAAAATTATGTTAAGCAAGATAATTTTTCTTGTTTGGTCACAGCTGGATTTATTGATTTTTTGTAATTTCCATCACTTTCCACATATTAAGTTTACCCTTCCATAATGTTATCTCTTTTAAGCCTTTTTTTTATTCTCTTGCTCGAATTGTGAGGAAAATTTACCTACAAAACGACAGGGTTACTGTCTTTTTTTTTATTAGTGCAAAAAATTTTCATTCCGTTTCATTAAACGAAAAGGCTTATTATTTATCTTTTTAATCACTTATACATTTAGATGAACACTTTGATTTTTCATTTACAGATTAATTTGATGATAAAAAATTTTCTACAACTATGTATAGGTATATTTAAAATTATTTATGAAATTTCTTATTTTCAGTTTATAAACAACGGATGTGTGAATTTTTAAAACTGAGAGAAAATGTATAGTTTAGGCATTTCTCTATTTATATTAAAATTATAATTTACAAAATTTTCTAGACTACAATTATTAAAATAATAAATTATTATAATAATAAAATACTCATGAGATGCAATAAAAAGTTTGAAATACATACCGAATTCTAAGAGATAGAAATTATTCTGCATCCTCGTAGAGGAAGGATTGTATTTTTCATCTAGTAGTTAATGAAAAACTTTTTCTAATATAACTTTAATTTGGAAAATTCTAATTATGCACATTAATTAATTATAGTTGCTTTAAATTTCAAAAATAAATAAAATACTATATTAAATTGGAAAAATGATTATTTTTAGTGAATAAAACATGTTCTGAAAATACCTATTTAAAAAAATTCATCTTGAATTAAATTTAATTACGCGATTATCTTTGAGTTGGTAAACAAAAAATTAAAATTATAATATTATTAAAAAAGTTAGTGTATACCTTTTAAAAGGATATTTATTTCAATTTTTATAGTGACAGTTAAACTATAAAAAATTTAACAGATATCTTTAATTTTGGTTCTTAAATATCGACGAAAAGAAAAATATAATTCTTTTTAGACAATCTACACCGAGTTTAAATGATTCAAAATAAATGCATATATTTTAGATTCTTAATATTCTTTTTAATTTTTTAATTTAATTTAATTTAATTTAATTTTTTTAAATTTATTATATTTTAGATTTCTAATTTCGAGGGTTAAACGCGTTTTTCTCGAAATATGCTGAACTGATTTAAAAAAATCGAAGACCATTCAATTCTTCATGTGAAAAACTAGACTTATTTTCTAAAAAACCTTTAAAATTTCACATTTCTAACGCCTGTTCTTTTTAACAGAGGTAAATTGCCCCCCAAAAAACATTTTTGTTTTTTTTTTTTTTGAGAAAAAAATATAAACATAAAATTTTTAAAAACATTTTAAAATCGTTTATTACATTTATTGTTTAGAATAGACTTTTTCCCTGATTTTCAGTAAGAATTTTTCCACAGACACTAAAATTTTCAAAAGTTTCAAATTTCGAACTTTCGAAATTCATTAATATTTATAAGAATTGTTGTATTCTCGCGAAAATTAATTTCAATATTTAATATTCAATTATTTTCTAGAATTTTTTACCTAAATTCTTCTCTAAATCAATTATTTTTAATAATTTTTGAGAAAGTTCTTTGAGAATCCAATTATTCAAGAAAAAAAGTTATTATTCGAAAAAAAAGTTTTGATTATTCGAAAATTTTTCAATTAAATAATTATTTAAAAATTCAACTAATTTCTAAAAAAAAACTTGATTAAAATATTTCAAAAACTATAGCTTTTTCAAAATTTTTAATTAAAATTGATTAAAAATCAATTTTTCAAAAATTTAAAGATTTAAAACCTTTTAAAATTTAATTATTTATAGAAAAATTGTAAAATTAACCTTTCTAAAATTCATATTTTTAAAAATTTTGAAGCAAAATTCTATAATAATTCTTCAAGAATTGAATTATTTTAAATCAATTCGATTTCAAATTTTTTAAAGTTCAATTACATATTGCAAAAAATAGAAAAAATTAATGGGTTTGTTCTAAAATTAAAATTTTTTGTCATTTCAAAGTTTATATAAGGCAGAGAAAAAGAAATTCAAAAATTAAATTTTTAATATTTTTAAATATTGTTGGACACCAATGTCCAAAATTTTCTTACGAATTTTAAAGATTTAATATTTTTCTAGTACTTTTATTAGAATTTCCTGACCTATGGCAAACCTGTAACCATTTTTTTAAAACAAAATTATTTACTTTGTGAAAAAATTTATCGACTAAAAGTATATCACCACATAGAAAAAATAAATAAAGTAATTTTTACTATTTTCAAAGTAAAACTTCCACTGTCAGAAACTTTTGCGCATTTTTGGCAATTTTGACTATTTTCGAAGTAAAAGTTGCTACGATCGAAGTACATTTTTGTAAAAATTAGTCCAAGCGTAGCAAAATTCATTTTGAAAATAGTAAAAACTAACAGAAATGCACAAAAGTTTCTGAAAGTTTTAATTTTACTGAAATAAATAATAAAAGTTACTCTATATTTTTATCGTTTTAATAAATATAACAATAACATTAGATATCTGAAAAATGCAATAAATATCCTACAGACTGATCATATTATGATAAAGTTTCCTTGAAAATTGAAGATTGAAATTGGTACACATTTTTTAGAAACTTTATTTTTATTGTAAAGAGGCACTCGGCGCACTTTTATCTTTTTAAATTATACCTTGGTAATGGAAAAATTTGATTAATATCTGAGAATTGGAAACTTGTCGCTAAGTACAGTCCAACTGCAATTACTACTGTTTAAAGCAGAACACGAAACTTAAATGCCAGCAGAATCTTTCAGTATGGTTAATCGCTATTTCTCAACTTTATTTTTATGAAAAATCCAACAAACTTGGAATTACTTTTCACTTTCAAGTTTCTTTCTTTTTAAAAGAATCTGTGCATTTAACGCATGTACAATGCCTGTGCAGAAATTAAAACATGTATAGAAATCTCATGCGAGTTTTCAACATTTTTGTGCACAAAAAAATTATTTCTTAAATTTTACTAAACTTTTTGTAATCTTTGGATTCAAGTCTATTGTATTTAAAGAAAATTCAGATTTGTGTAATTTACAGATTTACAGTTGTAAATTAATCACAGTTTTTCTAAGGATATCAAAAAAGTTTTTTTTGTCTCAATTTGCTATCCTTATTGGAAAAACTGTGAATGTATCCGTGAGAATATAAAATGTTTTGTAAAAAGTACATTACAAAATTTTTTTTTCATGTGGCGAACAATAGAAAAACTGCTTAATGTTTGGCTGGAAAGGCTATATTTCTATATAAATTTCCTTAAGTATTATTATATAAAAAAAAATGATAAATTTCTTGTCCCTTAACAAAAAGCGTTGGAGCTAAAATTAATACCAAAAAAGATTAAATTAATCAAGTTATGGATTAATATTTTCCAGGAAAAAAATGTGTCTAAATGAAAACCAAATCATTTTTAAAACATATTTTAAGACAATAATCAATAATTAAGGATTATCGTAATCCTTAATAGATTATCTTAATCCTTGATAGATTAAAGCGTTGCAGGTTATTTTAATCCATTCTAGTGTTAAAATAATACCTCACAATTTTCTGCGTTAAAATTATTTTAATCCAGTTTGGCATTAAAATAATACCAAATAATTTTCTATTTGAATTTTTCAAAACTATTTTTTCAACAATCTATTTTTATTGTAAACTAAATTAATTATTATTCTGAAATAAAGGTTTATCCGTCTCCGATGAGGTAACAATTTTTCATTTATATTATTATTTTTCTTTCGTTATTAAATTCTTTGAAATTATTTATTTGTCAACACAGAAAATTATTATAATAATTTTAAAATCAAAGATGGTTAAAATAACTTGTAATTCTTTATTCCATTAAGGATTAAAATAACCCTGGATTATTTTTTAATAATGATTTGGATTTTAGACACATTTTTGGCTTAGAAAGAATTAATCCAAAAATGTATTATTTTAATCTCTTTTGTTGCAAATTTAAGCTGTAACACTTTTTAATTACCCTAAGTGTACTGCTTATGTTTAAATGATTGATAGTTTAAATTGTAAAAAAGTTATTAAGATTAATGACAAACTTTTATATGTTTTTAAAGATTTTGAAAATTGTACTTTTAATATTATTGACATATTCATGTATCTTTGAGAAGTTTTTGGAATCAACACAAGTACCGGTACCGTACAAAATCTACAAAGTTGCGTTGGTTCCAAAAACTTTTCAAAGATATGTATTATAGTGGAACCTAGATTATTCGAACTTTCATTATCCGAAATTTTTCGTTACATTAAACCCAAAATTTCATTTTTAAATTTATCGGTACAAAACTCTGATAAAAATAAGGAAATGTTATTGTCTATTTTCTGATTTATAATGCAGTCTAAAAAGAACATGAATACCACTTAAAAGTGTAAAATAAAAAAATATTTATCTTATAAAATTGAAAATTTTTGACCGGAAATGTCAAAA